GGAGGAGTGTGTGTGTGTGTGTGTGTGTGTGTGTGTGTGTGAGAGAGAGAGAGAGAGAGAGAGAGAGAAAGAGAGAGCGAGAGAGAGAGATTTAGTAGTGCTCATCAGGTTCGGTTTGATCTCCTTCACTCATCAAGACCCAATTAGAGTCTATTAGACCCACATCTCTCTCTGTCACATACACACGCACACACATCTTCTACATGAGGCTAAATTATTATCACAAGGTGGAGAATGCTGCTTCTGTGTAAAGTACAAGGTCAGAACTTGACAAAATACATCGTTACATCACAGCCAAGTGATCTTATTTGTGTAACATGAGAGAGAGACCCAGGGACAAAGTGAGAGAGAGCGCAATGACACTATGTAACAGATTGCCATTTAACTAATAACAAGGTCCTACAAGGCCATAAACATTGATTACACACTGGTACACACACACATGCCCCTAATACAATTTGACATCATAAATGGAGTTCGCAGTTTGGATACAATAGTAACATGATCTGAGTTTTCCACTTTCCTCGGTTTTCCTTGCAGCATGAGTGATGGCTTCATGTGGCCCACTCGTTGCAGGCGAACAGATACACTGCCCCATTTCTCGTGTGTCTTTGTTGCAAGAGTGTTTTGCTGGGAATCTCGGTTTTCTGTGTCTCAGGTCTCTCTGCCTATTGTGTAGCAACCAGGGCAGGATTTGAGTTGCTTATTGTGGGTAGAGTTCGCTTTTGTATACACACAATGAAGAAGCAGCATGGGCATGTCTGCAAGTGGCTGTGTACATAAACTAAATGTTTATCAAGCCATCATTAAATGGCAATTCCAGTTTATTACAAATTGGGTCCTAATGTATTTGTTTTAGCTAGATGTTCTGTAACTGTAAAAGCAATAGTTCATAACTTTGGGACATATTTGTTAACTTTTTTTTTGCTGAGATATAGATCAACATCACCAGGGTGTGAATTACAGTGCGCAAACCCAGGTTCAGTAATTACACAAAGGCACACAGAACAACACATGAAATCAGTTCATGTGCCACGATAGATAACAGATATGCTGCAGATGTCCCGATCAATCATGTTACAGGCATTACTGACAGCAGGCGAGTCAATCCAACCTCACCGTCCTCTGCTGTCACTCACACTCACTCCAAAGTCAATTTAGAGTTGTCAGTTAACCTAAGATACATGTCTTTGAATGGTGGGAGGAAACCGGAGTACACAGAGAGAACCCACACAGGTTGGCCCGGGGCTCAAACCCGGAGTCTTCTTGCTGGGAGGCGAGAGTGTTAACTATTGCTTCACCATGTCAGCATAACAAAATAAAACACTAAAGTCACATAGCATAACACACCCAGACATCAATACTACACATAAAACCATCATATCATGTGATGACTACAAGAGAACAAATGAGTTTTCTTATGCGATTTAAAACTGCCAAGATCGGGGCAGATCTAATCTGTCATGGAAGGCTGTTTCACAGTCTTAGCCCAGCGATACCAAAGGCCTGATGACTGTTGAGCTTAAGCCTGGACCTAGGCACACTAGGTCAGCTGACTGGCACATGAAGATTAACCAGCCCACTAGGTAGGAGGGTGCTTGACCATTCAAAGCTTTAAAAAACAAATAAGTTTAAAATCTATTCTGTACTGGACTGGAAGTCAGTGCAGTGATGCCAGAACAGGGGCTATGTGGTCACAGTTCCTTGTGCTTGTTAAAAGATAGGAGCTGGATGATATACTAATACCAGTGTATAGTTCTTTACAGTTGTCAATCAAAAAAGCTTTAATCACAGAGCTTTTGGCACAATATGATAAACACAGTGATTACAATATATTTTTATTGTGTTATATTCAAAAACAAGTAAATGTTGACAAAGTTACATGCATATAACATTGCAGAGACAAGGTCATGTAAGGAAGTGTCACTCTCTAATCAGGTGACTGTTTGTTCTTTAGTTAATATTTGGTGTTGTTATGGAGTATGTATTTATCATTTAAACTTAAATCCACTTTAGTTGATTAATACACTGGCTTTGTTTAGCAGGATTTAATTTGAGTTCATTGGTTGGTTGTTCTTATTTCTAATGGTTTCAGTTTTTGGGGACCACTTTGAGGATGGTGTTTTTATTAAAGTGTGTATATGAACGCCCCAGGCTTCCCCAGGTGGAGGCAGTTTGGACTATACCATGTGGGACTATGAGAGGGAGGAACACATGAGTTTTGTTTTTGTATTTTGTTCCCTGCCAGCCCTAGAAAAATTAACATTTTAAGTATCTTTAACCACCTGTTTGATTTCACCCTAGGCATTTACTGGATGATGTGACCAGGCAGTATTTAAAACCATTGTTTAATTCAGTTGGGTTTTCGTTTGGGTACTGGGGGACTGTCTTTTTGTCTGTGAGTTTTGTATTTTTGCATTTATGTTTTGCCCTCTGGGATGAAAGAAGTAAAAAGCAGAGCTCTGAACCATGTTTATGGACTTTGTGCTCGTTCTGATCCTTAGACCTCACTGAACAGCTTGTTCACATCCTGATTAAAGAAGGGTTAAGAGCTTTAACCCTAACAGGGTGGCATGATGGTGCGGGAATTCACTGTCACCTCCCAGCAAGAAGATTCTAGGTTCAAGTCCCAACTGAGACCTTTCTGTGTGGAGGTTTGCATGTTCTCCCTGTGCCTGCGTGGGTTTTCTCCTGGTACTCCGGATCCCTCCCACAGTCCAAAGACATGCAGGTTAGATTAACTGTCAACTCCAAGTTGATCATAGGTGTGAGTGTGACTAGTTGTCTCTGTGTCAGCCCTGTGATAGACTGGGGACCCATCCAGGGTGTACCCTGCCTCTCACCTAACTGGCCTGGCTTCAGTAAACCTGCCCCCCAGATCTCAGCACTTTCTTTGTGTTATCAAAAGCAAGAATGGCTTTAATTACATAAGATATTATAATAAAACAAAAATATTTAAGATGCAGTTATTTTTCATGTTGTGTTTTGTACCAGTTACTATAAAAACACCAAACAATTTTTGGTCAACTCAGTACAAAAAAATATCAACAGCCTCCTGATAAACCTTTGTTTATCTTTATTGTTGGCCTCATACCTGGCTCGAAGGTGCCTATAGAAACTCCAACCAATAAAACTATCAAAGTTTTGAACAGTCCTGCCCTTCCCAATAAATAAAACAACCCTTATCTTTATAACTGATATCCCACTGGTTTGTGATTGGTCTCTCCCTGCATTATTCTGTGACCCAACAAGTTGTTTCAGC